ACTTGAAAAGGTCGAGTAACGGCAAAATACCGGTCAACAGCAATGGCAACAAGGATCCAAACAGAGAAAGCAGAAAGAATAAAGGGACTGGCCCTCAACAACTTGCAAGTAATAATTCCAATTATTCCTTCAAACCACTTGTCCTCAAAGTAGTATGTAATATCATTCAGTAACTCCATCGTTGTTACCAGGATATCTGCACATGCTTGGTTTACAATCAAATAATTCGTTGTGGTCTTCATAGAATTGTCTTTTCGTACAATATGAATGATCACTGAATTACCAAATAATGAAACCAAAAATGTAATGACGTAACGGCTTGCCAATAGCTGCCCAAGTAACTGTTGATCTGTTGTTGACATGTTATCTGAACATATAAGCAAAACAATTCTTTGTTAGGCCAGCTGAGATAAATGTAACCCATTCAATCTGCGTTATACGCTGGTTATCACGTAGAAGACCTTATGATCTTTTCTCAATTGTGCAGTGCATATAGTCTCTAAAGGGCGATGAATTAAAGGGTACCTAAAAATGATTTCTAGTAGAGGACTGACCTCACTAGCAGCCAGGAAATGTGTAACAGGCCTTGGCTTCTCGACCAGTTTGTGTTCAACGTACTGTTGGTCACGTGATCAACAAACACTAAACCTATAATTTTCAGAAATTCCAAAAGCATGTTTCAATTAGCAACTATTCCATGTTCTAGACCAGTGAGGTACAGCGGTGCGCAGAATATGCCCCCTTATAAATTAAAACGTTTTGTATTGGGCGACCAAGGTCTTGCTGAACTGTAAAGACGAATACATTTCTCTGTTTCCTTAAGAACCATACCTATTTCAGATCAAAATGGGCGAAATCCAAAACCTTTGTCAGACCAAAACAGCTCAAAAACTACTCCTTAATTCAGCACCTACCTATATAACTTAAACCGTACCTTTGCCCACACCCGTGTCGCTTCTCTGGTAATAGAATATGTAGAATGTAGTACCTTATAAATATTTCTTTTTTGCTACTGTGATGGTTGCAGGATTTCAGTCAAAGCAGTTTGCTTTACAGCTGTCAGTAAACTGCCAACTCATTTAAGACTAAGATGCTTGCATATTTATTAAATTCTGAACTGATGAAGTAAACGGTACTTTTTAATTAATATAGCTTTTTTTCTGGTGAGTGCTACCAGTTCACAAAGAGAGAAAGCTAGCTTTGTTACGAAATCAAATTGCCAAATGATCTTTCGCGCACTTGATCGTTTACTACAAATTGTTTATGACCAACATTTATAAAACTTTCTTAAATTGCTTGCATGCCTAGAAATTAGATAATGCTAGTGCATGCCTTCCTTAGTCTACAATTAAGTAGGGGGAAAAATGTAATTATAAAGTAAACTCCTCGTAGCCCATATTTATCTCCCAATTTTGCGAGAGATTTGTTACATGGTGAGAGTTGGACATTTAGTACCTTGTGGCTGAAAATCGAGGCTGCTGTTGAAAATTGATCTCATATCGGGTCGTGCTTTGGCAGGCTAGAGACAGCAAGTTCTTCTGATTCTTCGTAGCCGAAGACTTTTCTGCTCAACTGTACAAAAAAATGACTATTTGCTTTTGTTTTTGCATGGATTTTTTGTTCTTTTATCTCCCAAGATAATGGTCTTAGCGGGGTTCATACTATTGTATTGACTGTAGTGGCCATTACTAGACAATGCCTCTGCATGACCATTTCTTATACCAGGAAAAACCTGAGAAAATCAGTCAGTTTTAATTAAATATAAGGGCAAAAATTGAATTAAGTTAAGCCTGAGTGTGCCTTGCTGTTTGTCCAATATGGGTATCTTAATTAAAACGTACATCTTTTTTATCGTTAAAAGGTCTCTCTGAAACAGTATGCCTGCGGTGATATATTAATTAGAGGGAAAGAAAAAGGCTGAAAAAGGTTTTTCTGTTTTTAAAAACGACAGCAAACGGTATTTTATATTATGTACAATTTGTAATTTAAAAAAAAGGATCGCAGGTTAAATACCCTCTTTTCTTAAATTTAAGGTAACTTTGATTCGACAACGAGAGTTTATTTAGCAGTAACAAGAATGAAATCTGCCGTACCTTATATAATAATCATAATAATTACCAAGTCGACGCTTTTCACATTTAGCTAGAGCAGTCTCAGAAGTATTTTCAGATAACTGTTCACAACAAATATTGTTAAAAAAACTTAACTATTTACATATCACTGTTTAGCAAGACCAACAGCTTACAGACCATTATACGTTTCTGGGAAACTGCCCACCTACCCTTCCCCTAAGCCAACATTAACACTTAGTTCTCACTTAGGGCAAATGTTGGCTTAGGGGAAGGGTAGGTCAATATTAGAATGAACTGAAATATCTGCAGAGTAATTGCTTGAAAATCAGCCGTAGAAGACAACAAGAGAATTACACAAGAAAACTCATTTCGACAGGTCACCACGGCTATATTAGATGAAAATCTTTTATAATATCAATTTGTGAGACAAAAACAAAAGATTTTGCACTTGTCATGTGGGAGCTCAAGACATAAACTGCAGCAAATGCAGTTGCGGTTACCTGTTTACTAAAGACAAATACATTTACATGTTTCCTTAAGAACCATACCTATTTCAGATCAAAATGGGCGAAATCCAAAACCTTTGTCAGACCAAAACAGCTCAAAAACTACTCCTTAATTCAGCACCTACCTATATAACATAAACCGTAGGTAGCCCACACCTGTGCCTCTTCTCTGGTAATAGAATATGTAGAATGTAGTACCTTATAAATATTTCTTTTTTGCTACTGTGATGGTTGCAGGATTTCAGTCAAAGCAGTTTGCTTTACAGCTGTCAGTTAACTGCCAACTCATTCAAAACTAAAATGCTTTCATTTTTATTAAATTCTGAACTAATGAAGTAAACACTACTTTTTAATTAATATAGCTTTTTTTCTGGTGAGTGCTACAAGTTCACAAAGAGAGAAAGCTAGCTTTATTACGAAATAAAATTTAAAGCAATATGCCAAATGATCTTTCTCCACTTGATTGTTACTACAAATTGTTTATAACCAACATTTATAAACCTTCCTTAAAGTGGGTGCATGCTTAGAAATTAGATAATGTTAGTGCATGCCTTCCTTAATCTACAACTGAGTAAGGGAAAAATGTATAGAATGAAGTCTACCTTACCTTTCATAATAATCATAATAATTGCTAAGTCGACGCTTTTCACATCTAGCTACAGCAGCCTCGAAAGTTTTTTCAGGTAACTGTTGACAACAAATATTATCAAAATACTTATTAAAATAACTATTTACAAATAACAATTTAGCAATACCAACAGCTTACGGACAAGAGAGAATGATCATTCTCTCTTGTTACAAATAATTATACGTTTCCGGAAAACTGCCCACCTACCCCTCCCCTAAGACAACATTGGCTTAGGGGAAGGGTAGCTCAATCACAGAATTAACTTAAATTTCAAGATAATTGCTTGAAAATCAGCCGTAGAAGACAACAAAAGAATTATACAAGAAAACTGATTTGGACGGGTCACCACGGCTATATTAGATGAAAATCTTTTATAATATCAATTTGTGAGACAAAAACAAAAGATTTTGCACTGGTGGGAGGGAGCTCAAAACATAAACTGCAGCAAATGCAATTGTTTACCTGTTTACTGACATCCTTATAGCCCTATGTAAGGGAATGCG